CGGGAGGAGCGGCGCAAGCGCTTCGAGATGATCGATGCTGTGGACGGGGCAGGGTCGGAAGAGGCGCTAAGGATGGAGGTGGACCGGATCCTGCCCGTCCCGGCAGACATCAAACCGCAGAACGTCCACGTGGAGATCGAGCAGCGCTGGCACCAGGTGGAGACCACCCCGCTGCGGGAGGAGAAGCAGATCCCCATCGCACCCCTGCACCTCGCCCACACCGAGGACCGGGATGAGGGGCTGGCGAAGCAGCACTTGACCACGCTGCTGGAGAAGGAGGTAAAGCGGGGTGCGTGGGGTGCAGGCTGCCTGCCAAAATGGCCTTCAGACCACTGCAGGAACCGTAGGAAGCCTGAGCAAGGCTTAAAAAAGCTGCATTTGTTCCTGCTTCGTAACAGCAAAGAGTGGGGATGCTGTAGGGTCCCCTGGGGAGCTGGCAGGGCACAGATCTGCGTCCGTTCCCATTCAGCTCTGCCGGCAGCTTTCATGTTCCCACGGCTGCAGAAAGGGCTGTTCTTGCAAGGGGGGTACTTCGTTACCCTCTCCCAGCCAACACTTCTGTCGGTTGTTAGCCAGCCTGCGTCTGTTGAGATGGGTACAATTGATGCGTATCAACCGGAATCTAAATTCAAGCTCATAATTCTCTGTGCCTCTGCAGCTGTAGAGATTTATGTCTATGAAACTATAAACTGGCTTGAGTTGTAGCACACACCACAAAGGTTCCCTTTTTGCGGAGCCTACATCAAGCAACCTTACGATTTTAGGAAAAGAAAGGTGGAGAGTCAGCTCACTTGGAAGGGGTCAACACCTGGGGTAACAAAGGTTGTTGTTAGTTGGGATTAAGGTGTATTAGCAGGCATGAAAGGGGTGCAGGCGTGGAGTAACCAGGAGTATTGCCAATCTGAACCAGGCTGGGATTTGCCTGGGTCATGCCTGGCACGAGCTGGTGCTGTTCATCCTTTGCTGCAGTGAGCTTTACGAATTAAACTAATGCATAACTTAGTTCTTCCAGGGGGGAGGGATTTTGCCTGGCAAAATGAAAATCCAGATCCCAGAGCAGAGCAAAGCAGCGGTGCCATCAAAAGCCCCGTTCATTCTGCTCTACGTCCCCTGGGAGCTGCTTGTTCCTTATGGCCGACCCCCTGCCCACTCCCTGGATGCTGTCTCTGTTCATGTCCCTCCAGCTGGAGCAGAAGCAGAAGGAGGCCCTGGAGCTCCTGGAGCAGAACCGGCACCTGCAGGACCAGCTGAAAGTGGCACTGGGCCGGGAGCAGAGCGCCCGGGAGGGCTACGTGTTGCAGGTAGGAGAGCAGGAGGAGAGAGAAATCTGTCTTCCTCTGTGCCTGAGGGGATCCTGGTGGGCTTCAGTCCAGGGTGTTCGCGGGGGCATCCTGGCTGACGCAGAGATGTGGGCTCCAAGAGATTTGACCTTCTGGCAAATATTGCTAGTTCTGTAGCCTTACCAGGATCATCTCCTTTACAAAACCTCTGATCTGGGGTGCAGTAGACAGAAGATAGCATTACCTACTGGTGTCCCCGAGGGAAAACAAAACACAGTCATGGTAGACAGACGGGTTCTCAGCAAAGTCCACTTCTGGTCCATCCTATACTGTATTTGCCTATGGAACAGCTGTTTCCCCCTTTCTGTGCCCCAGATGTTCCCTTCAGGCAGTGGGGTGCACATACGGCTTTCTAAACATCATGTAGCCCAGCAGTTGCTCCTGGCCGGGGAGTTTGCGTGGCGGTTACATGGGCAAACACGGCACACGCAGGCGTATCTCCTGGGCCTGTTCCCTGCAGCCAGAATGGGATTTGCACTGGGACGACCTGTTGTCTTGGATGACTTTGGTGGTTTCTTTGGTTACAAGATGCCTTTCCTCAGCAAAGCCTAGAAGTGTGGTTTTGGAGGTTCTGGCAAAAGAGACAGGAGAGTCTCTTGGGAAGCCTTTCCTCCCCTCCTCCAAACAAAGCGGACTTTTTCCAGCCCTTCCTCTGGGAGCGTCCGTGCCCGGAGGAGCCGTGACACCTGCAGGGCAGCTTCTGGCTGCTCTCCTGGGTCCGTAGTCCTGTCTTCTGCAGGGGCAGCGTTTTGACGTGCTCAAATCTACTTGGCCAAACTGGCTCTGGATCAAAGTGGCCGTGCATGGCCGCACGCTACGCTCCCGTGGCAGCACACCTGGTGTCAACACTGAACCTTGCATCCTTATTTTTCACGGGAGAAATTTCCCCTGAAAAAGTTGCACAGGCAGTGGAGCCAGCCCAGGTAGGGGTCATATAGCCCTCCTTGCCGGCGATCTCCTTGGAGGAGTTATTAACGTATTTATTTCTGGAGTCCCCGAGCTGACAGTGCTTGCTTGGAGGAGTTCCATTTTCACTTGGCAGTGTTGGAAGAGTAGCTAACTCCCGCTTCCCTGGGGCAAAGGCATTTGACCTCCCTTTGCCTGGAGCCCAGAAAAATCAGGGAATGGGGCTAAAAGCTGGATGCTGAATCCACCGTCAGATTGGCCATGTTGAAGTTGGCCTTAGCGCCTCGATACGAGGAGGGGGGGCAAGAGGGGAAGTCTGCAGAAGGGCTTGAGTAAATCATCGCTGCAGTGAGAAGTGACCCAAACTTTGACCTAGAAGTTGGAGAGGGTTTTTGAAAGGGTTGGAGGCTTTTGCTTGCTCCAATCTAATTGTTCTGGAGATTTCCCTTGTGTTTCCCCGGGAGCAGAGGGATTAGTCCTGTTGCAGAAAGGAGTAACCCCACCAAACCCTGCTGGGGTGGAGGGAGTAGAATCGCTGGGAGGGTTTCTGCAGCCCCAGACTGCAGGCAAATATCACAGCATTTTTTTTGGACAGACCCTCTGAATTTCATGTGCCACCCCACCTCCACCATGCCTAATTTCGGAGAGGTTCCTATGTTCTCTATGGAGAGGGACGATAGAGGAGCCTGACTGCTGCCAGGCCACCCCTCCTGAGCTGCCCGGGGGGCACCAACCCCTTCCCGGCAGCATGACCAGCCCCGTACAGACCCCCCAAGCACTGCCCCGACATAAAAGACGCTGCATGTTTCGTAAGCAGCCGCTGAGATACCCACTCCGATGCATGTGCCGTGCACCGAAGCCTCTCTGGCCTCGTGTAACCCATCTCTCGCTCTGAGCTTCCTCGGGATGGGGCACTCCAACTTTGAACCCTACTGGGAGAAATGGTGGGGGCTCCTGCTCCTCACAAATGGACCGGAGATGTCCCCCGGCTCTGGTCACGGTGGGCGGGAGGGGTCACGTACTAACCTGTCCCGGGCGGATGTTCTTGCATGTTTTTGGTGTAAAGCATGAAATTTAACTTAACATAACTGAGTGTCACATCTGTGGGCTTTCCTTATCAGCAACCAGAGTACAGCAAGGCAGGCCAAATTCCTAGGCTTAACGCTGTGCTTCTCTCGCCTCTTCCTGTCTGTGTATTTTTTTTAAAGATACATAATATCTGTCGCCTTTTGCATGACTCTCTCTGTGAGTTTTCTCTTTGCATGCTACATTGCTTTGGTTTGAATCTCATAAAGGTTGGTTTCTTTTATTTTACGTTCTCATCACAACTTTTCCCTCCCTTCACTTGTTGGGCTTTTTATTTTGTCCTTTGTTGTTTTTTTTTTGCAGGTAGAGAAATTAGATCCTCCCTAGTCTTAAACTTTAGCATAACAACATCTCTTTAATGCGATGAGCAGCCACTAAGTCCTGTTTGGCAGTCACAGAAATGACATCGCCACGCCGGCTGTCCTGTCTCCCTGCGTTTGGGTGGGATGTGATGTCATTTGCTGTCACCTCACTTTCTGTTGTTGCTTTTGGTCGGTAGGACTGTGTTACCTGAACTGTGCACTTTTTGTTTCATAACAAAATGAACAAACATGCTAAAAAAGCAGTTCCTTTCTTCTCGACCTGTTCCCATCCCCTCCTCCTTCTCACCCTTCCTGTTTTTCTCTCATCTGTCCGTCTCTGTTTTACCGCTGGTGTTTCTTTTTCATTGTTTTTTGGTTCTATTTGATTTTGGGTTTTTTTTTTTTTCCTTTTAGCCTGTTACTGTACAGCTGTTTTGATGTTGTGGTCCATGTTTTCTGTTACTGGAAAGCAGTTGTCACTCATTCAAAAAAAAAAAAAAAGTAGGTTAAAACAAACAAAAAAAAATTGTGCCAAGAACAAATCATCCCAATTGGAGCATGTGGGTAGCAGCCAAATCGCTGTGAGGAGCTTTTCCGTGGCCTGCCTGGCCAGAGGTGTGACACTCAGAAGGGAGAGCCAAGAGTGTTACTAATCTAGTATTTAATCAATTTTTTTAAGACCGAGGTGGCCGCTTCGCCATCAGGTGCCTGGCAGAGGCTCCACAAAGTCAACCAAGACCTCCAAAGTGAGCTGGAAGCCCAATGCCAGCGTCAAGAGCTGATCAATCAGCAGATTCAGTCGCTGAAGCGCAGCTACGCCGAGGCCAAGGACGTGATCCGGCACCACGAAGCCGAGATTCAGAGCCTGCAGGCGAGGCTCAGTAACGCGGCGGCTGAGCTCTCCATCAAGGAGCAGACCCTGGCCAAGCTCAAGAGCGACCTGAGGAGCGAAAAAGAGAAAGCCAAAGAGCAGCTGGAGGAGTGGCAGCACGGCGAGGCCATGCTCAGCTCCCAGCTGAAGGCCAGCGAGCAGAAGCTGAAGAGCGCGGAGGCTCTGCTCCTGGAGAAGACCCAGGAGCTGCGGGACCTGGAGATGCAGCAGGCTTTGCAGAGGGACCATCAGAAGGAGGTGCAGCGGCTCCAAGACAGGATCGCGGACCTGAGCAGGCAGCTGAATGCTAGCGAGCAAGCGCGGATCCTCATGGAGGAGAAGCTGCAGAAGAATTACGAGGCTTTGCTGGAGAGCTGCGAGAGGGAAAAGCAGGTTTTAATACGGAGTCTGAAAGAGGTGGAGGATAAGGCCAACGAGTATGAGAACCAGCTGCAAAATAACGAGCAGCAAATGGAGATTCTGCAGAAGGAGAAGCTGAGTGCAAAGTTCGAAGGCAGTGAGCTTGTCCACCAGCTGGAGGAGCAGCTGGTGATGAAGGAGGCCAGCATCCAGAAACTTGCAGAGCACATCAAGGAGCTCGAAAGAGAGAGAGATCAGATCAAATATCGGTTCCACGAGCTCATGAATCAGGTTGCCGAGTCGGATAACGAAGTTGCAAAGCTGCAAGCGAAGTTGAAAATGGAAGAAACCAACTACCACAATCTGGAGCAATCATTCGAGGAGGTGTCGGATCAGTTCCAGGGTGTGCAGAAGGTGCTGAAAGAAAAAGAAGAAGAGCTGAGACACGTTAAGGAAATGCACTTGAGAATTGTGGAGAAGAAAGATGAAGATCTCAGTGAGGCTTTGGTTAAAATGGTTGCTTTAGATAGCAGTCTAGAGGAGACTAAAGTAAAGCTGAAGGCCAAGGAGGAGGCTTTAAAGAAATTAGCTAGTGTAGGCACAGGTCCATGTGCTGAGGAGGTGGAAGACCTTGGCCCCAATCTCGAGGCTGACGAAAGTCATCCATCCCAATTGGGGCAGCCTCTGCAAACTCAGGATGTCCTCCCAGCTCTGACTTACGCACTGAAGGAGGAGGAGGAGGATGAGGTTCTTGAGACCAGCCAGAGGCAAGCAGAGGAATTTGGCTCCCCGTCCAAAGCTGTAGAGTTCCAGGATCAGGAGTTAGTTCAGAAAGCCTTAGCAAAGCCTGATGTAGGAATCGTAGGGGCCAAGAGGCAAAGAATCCGTTTCTCAAGCATCCAGTGCCAAAAATACATCCATCCAGATGGTTCGGAGAAAAACTGGACAAGCAGTACCTCTTCAGACACGAGCCAAGACAGATCGCTGTCTGAAGAAAGCATGTCATCAGAGCCAGCTCTTGGTTACCCATCATCAGGGACAAATGACTCTGAGACCTATCTCTCCATCATTCATTCCCTGGAAACCAAACTTTATATTACAGAGGAAAAACTCAAAGATGTAACAATGAAGCTTGAAAGCCAGCATGGCCACAATCAGGAGACGCTCATCGCCCTCCATCATCAGTGGGCCAGCACAGAGTCTCAGCTGCGGGAACAACTTCAGACCAGCTTGTCCCAAGTCGGTGCTTTGATCTCACAGCTGGAGAGTGAGAGGCAGGAAAAGTTCAAGCTCATAGAAAATCATGTTAGCGAGCTGGGAGGTTTCCAAATGAAAAATGATCAAGCGCTGACTTGCTTAGAGAAGTGCAGGGAGCAACTAAGATCTTTGCCCAAATCAGACAAGGAAAAGGAGGGTGATTTGTTCCTTGTTACTCTGTCCAGCATGGAAACGACCTTATCAAATGCAATTCAAGCCTTGAGAGGGGCGCCAGTCCCATCGGAGTATCAGCAAAGTGAAAGCCTTATCGTGGAAAGCCCCGCTCCAGAAGGAGGTTTTTTGGGAGAAGAGGAGCACGTCTCCAAGGAGCAGCGAGAGGAAATGTTTGACGCCGGCCAGTTGAAATGGCTTTCTGAGAGAGTGGCTTTTGAGGCCTCTCTCATCAACCAAATAGCGGAGTCTTTGAAAAACGCAAGCTCTGAGATATCTCAGCTTCTGAGAGAGATCCAGGGAACGGCTGAGGTGGTTTTGTTGGAGCCGGCAAATGTTTCTCATACGGCCGTCGACTTGGCCAGCGTCCTATCTAAGAAGCTGCTGCTGGAAGGGGAGTTCTGGAGCCAGGTGGAGGAGCTGAGAGTGCACTTGAGCACCAGAGAAGGAGAAGCCGAGGGCAAAACAGAAACAACGGGTTTGGGCTTTTCTTCATGTTTTCTCAGTGCTGTAGCAGATGCTACATTGATCAAGGCAGAACTTGGGTTTGTCGCACAGAAAATGAGAGAATCTTTTCATCGGAGATTAAAAACAATCGAAGAAGACCTCCATAATACCAAAACAGCTCTCCAGCAGCATAAATGCATGTTGGAGGAGATCATCAAAGCATACAGGACTCCTGATTTTGACAGAGTTATGCACCAGATTTCTGAAGCACTTGAAATTCAAAAAGACGCTTCAGAAAGAACCCAAATCTCCTGGGACGGGAGCCATCTCCAAATGGTGCCGTGTCAGGAATTAGCCAAGACGGAGGAGATTGGCGGCCTGCCGGACCGTAGTAGTGAAGCTCTTGTTTCCATTCAGGAAGATCTTGCCCAACAACTAAAGGACAAATCAAATGTTCTGAAGGAAATATCTGTTGCCTTACTCTCTCTGCCTCCTGAGAAGGCAATGAGAGACTGTCAGAAGCTCCTGAAGATATCTCAGAGTCTTTCATATCATTCGTGCATGGGAGACCTTGAACGGTATTCCTCTTTGTTAGTCCAAGATGCAATTGTTCAGGCTCAGGTTTGTTATGCCGCTTGCAAAGTCCGACTGGAGTATGAGAGAGAGCTGAAGTCCTACAAGGAGTCCTTGCAGAGCATGGACGCGCTCTGCCAAGAGCGCGTGAAGACGGTCTCTCTCCTTCGGGACGAGTACGAAGACTTGCTTAGAAAGCAGCAGGGTGAGTACGGTGAGGTGATCGCCATGCTTGAACGGGAGAACGCCGATCTCAAAGCAAAGGTGTCCCAGCTTGACAGTCAGCGAAGGCTCTTGGAGGAAGAAGAGCATAAACACAGCAAGAGCTTGAGTGAATTGCAGGGACGGTATGAGGAGGAGATTCGAAACGTGATAGAGCAACTAAACAGGACAGAGGATGCTCTGAAGGCCGAGAGGACAGAGGGGCTCAACCAGCTGGATGCCATCGTCCGTGACAAGCAGAACATGGAACGGTATCACCTGGAGCAGATGCAAATGCTGGAGGACAAGTTCCAGGCCAAGATCAAGGAGCTGCAGGTCATTCACGGCGAGGAGCTGCAGGCGTTGCAGGAGCACTACAGCCAGAACCTGCAGCGCCTGCAGGAGACCCTGGACGAGTACCAGAGGCAGCACCCGGAGGTGTCCCCCGTGGTGGGCCTGGGTGGTGGGGACACCTGGGCGGCCGGTGAGGCGGGTGGCACCGGGCAGGGCCCCGGCAGCGACCTGGACTCCATGCACGGCCTGAGGGAGCGCATCCAGGAGCTGGAGGCCCAGATGAACGTCATGAGGGATGAGCTGGAGAACAAGCATCTGGAGGGGAATGCTTCCACCTTGAGGGAAAAATACCAGAAAGACTTTGAAAACTTAAAGGTCTTGATACGTTAAACGCTTTAGGCTTTCTGCTGCTGAGTGTAAGGGAGGGTGCGTTCGGTCCCGGGGTTCACTTGCCGAACCAAGGGGTGTCCCCCGAAAGAGCCAGCATGCTGAAGCAAGCCCCAGAGTGTTAGGAAGGCCTCTGTAAAGCATGGCATTTCCCTTTTCTCCATGCTGGGGTATTCTAAATGCACTGCTGAGGGTCTCAATGGGAGGGTTGATTATGGGAGGCGGTCTCTACGTGTAGAGGGAGGGAGGGTTTCGAAGTAGCTTGATAATTTCACATTATCCTTCAATATGAAGACCGTAGTGTTTCTTCTCCTACCTGAGGGGTATGTTTTGTTCGTGACTTCCCTTTAAAAGCATTCCTCAACTCTGTCTTTCCCAGTCTGATCAAATCTCCAGTCTGTCCCTGCTGCCCTCAAAAATGTGAGATGAAATGGAAACTTAATGCTCTCAAAATGTATGTTCCTGGGGAAAGTAGCTGCAAATGGATGCCAAATTCTGTAGCAAAGCAAAACTCCTCTGCACGAGGCTGCGAGGAGCAGCACCCTGGTGTTGCACACCAGCGATTCTTTACACAACAAACAGTGCACAGTTATGGGAAACCCAGACTTAGGTGCAGAAAAACCCAGTGGCAATGAAGTGCCTGCGTTCAGATTGCTCCACCAGTCAGGACTGGCTGTAAAACTAGCCTGAGATGGTACGGCATCTAAAAAAACCTCTTGGGTTTGGTGTTTTGCTTTTGATCGTAGAGCATTTCCAGTAAGGAAGCGGGTTTAGGGCAGTAGAGGACTCTCGGCAGCACCCAGGGAGGCTTCCAGGTAGCTGAAAGGGCAGCGATGCAGGCTGCACGCAGAGGCCATGCCGGCGAGGCTTTCATGGAGCAGTCGTTCTTCAGAGTCAGCAAAAATGTGGAAGAGCTTGCTTCCAGCCCTGAGATTGGGGGTAAAGCATGGTTGCTGGGGCTGGGGGTTTCGGCTGGGGGTAAAGCATGGCTCAACTCTAGCCAAAAGCTGATTTTAGAGCAGTAGTTCTGCTGCAACCCATCGGGGTGAATCGGGTGTCCAGGGGAGGGACACCTGCTACTGGGGAGATGGGAAGGAAGCGATGGTGTTCACTGAACGCTATCTCCTCCATCTTAACTCTTAGGAAGGAAAAACCCTTTTTGAACCCCCGTCTCAGGTCAGCGGGACACGGGTAATGCCTTGTCCTGCGAACCAGGCACCAAACAGGGGCACTTGTACCAGGGGATGTTCTTGCTTTGGAAGAAGCAAAAAGGCTAGAACCAAAATAGAGGCTGAAAAATAACGGCAAGCAATGAACCTGACCTCCTGCCTCTGTTTTCAGCTTTGTTCTGCCAAGCTTACAGTTTGCCTGGCAGGAAGGCAAGCAGCACCTTCGGGGCAGAGCGGTCCAGGAGGGGGGGCAGAGCGAACCGGCCTGTCTCTGCACCTCTGTAGGAAGCAGAGGGACAGACGGCAAAATAGAAACTTCCCTTGGTTAGAAAGCTAACCAGGCGATTGCAAACCTGTCCAATTTACGGGTTAAAATGTGCTCAATTCTTCTCTTTTGAAGCTGATGGAGAACGTAACACCAGTAACACGAGATACTGGTTTGTACGTGTCCAAATGTCCTGGATTTATAGCAATGCATTTACAATACATTAAATACTGAATCTACAGCCAGACCTATGGAGGAGCATTCACCATTTTCCTCCAGCGTTAGAGGTGTAATGAAGAATCCTGCAAGGCTGCTTCATGCCTCTCCGTAGTCAGCCAAGTCCAGACAGGTTCTGGCATCGAGTTATGAGTTTCAAAAAAAAAAAAAGGCTGAGAAAATGAAGAATGCCTCAGGATTCAAACTTAACAGGGAGGAATAAAAGCACCAAAGCTGAAAATTGGGAATGAGAGTGGCACAGGTTACAGAGCATTAGACAACGAAGTGATGCTGAAGAGTGTATGTTAGTATAGGTCAACGGGTGTTAGACTGTCATGAGCACTTTTGTCACTGGGGGAGTGAATTTGTCCCCCTTAAATTTCCCATGGAGTCCCAATGGCTCCCTAGGTGACAGTTCTAGCTTCCTGTGGAAAATACGAGTGTGAATCAAGAAGAAATCTGTTGAAATCAGGAAATAAAGCCAGCCTGTAACATTAAGAGGGAGAAAAGCCCGGTGCAGAGCTTGGCATCAGGGTTGCCCCCTGATGTCTGATGGGGCTTGTGCATTGCATTCCCCAGGGCGTTCCCCTTCCCAGCTCCTGGCCCGAGCCTGCCTGTGGCTTTGCTGTCCCACCTCTGTCCTGCAGCCGTGTGTCTGTCCAGGATCCCGATGCGCTTGGCGGGGCTGGTGGCTGAACTGGAAACGGGCTTTTGCATTTGTCCCGCCGCAGGGGCAGGAGCAGGGTCTGTGCCTGGGGCAGGACCAGGTTGGAATTCAGGATCTCACGGCTGGTGACTCCTGAATCCCCAGAGCCCTGCTCCCCTGTCCTGGCCTAAGTTCACTCCTAGTAATTCAATTAGCAAATAATTGCCCGTGCAGCATTTGAAGCGATACTTCGTTGGGAATTAAGGTCCTGTTGCTGTCACGAGTCATTTGTTTTCCACCCCAGAGGTGGCCGCATAAAATCAGGCATTGCAAAAGAGAGCAGAAGGGGCACAGTAGGCTTTTTTGTTGTTTTTAACATACATTTGCATTCGCCAATCGGGTCTGACCCCAGATCTACCCTGTCCTTCCCTTTCACCGGAGCTGTCAGGGGTCGAGAGACTGCAGACAAGCTCTGACCTCGCAAGGTCAATCCTCAGCCAGCTCCTCCATGGTTGTAGGAGATCCCTATGATGGAATTTGGGTGCCGCCCTACCCGCTGGTGCGCGGCTCCCGGCAGGCTCACCGCTACTGTGACGCCGGCCATGCTCTCTGGAGCCAACCCCTTCCCCTCGTCCCTTTTGCAGGCAACATGTGAAAGGGGCTTTGCAGCCATGGAGGAGACACACCAGAAGAGGCGGCAGCACCAGCGGGAGCTGGAGAAGCTGCGGGAGGAGAAAGACCGCCTGCTGGCAGAAGAAACGGCTGCCACCATTTCAGGTAGGGGGACACGCCAGAGGGTCCCCCATGGTGGGGCAGCTCCGTGTTGATGGGGACACGGGGATGGCGTTTGCTCTGGCATGGAAGAGCAGAACGTGGGGTGGGATGAGGGCTGGGTGGGGATCACGGGGAGATGGGGAGAGGCTGCTGGGACATATGTTTTGGATGGAGGCCCATCTCCTGGTCCTTCTCCAGGCTTGGTACGCCTCTCCTTGGCTGTAACATGTCTGATCCGTTTTCCGTTCCATCTCAGAAAGGCGTTAGTCATTCCTGTGGTTAATTTATTGCCAATTCCACACTGAATTCATTCTTCAGTGCCCCAGGGAGTTTTAAAGTGCTGGCACCCAGGGTCTCTGCATTAGGAGTCCCACAGTCCAGGCAACAACATGTGAATTGGACAATCGTTTGGACTTTATTAAAAAGTGGGATTTGCAGAAGCCCCTTTGCTGCTTTGCAGCCAGGGGCACAGACTGAAGGGGCCGCGAAGCAATGGGAGGTTTGCTGGGATGACTTGGGTTCTTTCCTTTAAAAAACAAAAACAAAAACAAAAAACCACACCCTTGGGTGGAGCGGTGCTGGGTGCTAACACTGTGCTGTCCCACGCAGCCATCGAAGCCATGAAGAACGCGCACCGGGAGGAGCTGGAGCGAGAGTTGGAGAAGTCCCAGCGCTCCCAGATCAGCAGTGTCAATGCCGACATCGAGGCCCTCCGAAGGCAATACCTGTAAGTTCGTCGTCGTCCTCCGTTTGTCGCTGTGTCTCACAGGGAGATCACGCGTGTGGGAGACCCTTTCTCCCCTTTGATTTCAGCAATGAGTTAGGGGCTGACCTGTGGTCGCAGGGACCTCTTCCCTTGGTCCCGAACCAGCTGTGCCCATCGGAGGCTCCTGGTTGCCCGTAATCTTTCAGGCTCCAGGTCAATGTCCCCACACTACCTAAATTCAGCTGCTTTATGGTCAGCAGATGTGCAGACACGGTGCTGCTTT